CTAATATATAGTGCTGCTTTACAGATTTGTATGGGCATATTCAGGAACTTAAAACAATTGGGCAACATAAATTTCAAAATACTTTTCAAAATATTGATACTAAAATTAAACCCATTCTGCTATATGGGGCAGATGTTTGGTGGATTTCTTGTTTGGAAGAATTGGAAAAAGTTTTAGTAGTGAAATACCCAAAATGTGATAATATATGGTGAATGGGGTCGTTTCCTACTTTCTCTAGAAGCACAGTTAGAAGTAAGCAAGTACAGGGTAAAGATCTAGGACGTGCCTCTATCAAGAATTCCTATCAAATAATACAACATGATGTGTTTACATTACACTAACCGAGAAATTAAATTTTGAATGCTAGAGATTTACTTTATCATTGTTATTTTAGTGATGTAATTGTGACACAAACGATTTCTTGCACAAGATCTTTTTATAATGCCGTAACCCAAAGATTAAAATATTTGTACATTCAGACATTGAATTCATATTTAGAACAGACGAGCCAATCCACTTTTTACAGTAATCTTAATTATGCTTTTAATACAGAGTAATATATCCACGATTTCAATCTCAGAATGTTATTCGTTTCATTATCCAAATTCGGATGTTTTTTATCAAATGACCTTATGAAAGGGGTAGATATTATACTGAACAGCAAAAGAAACGCGAAAAGTGACAGTCTCTTTAGTAGCGCGTATAGCCACATTGAGCTTGCACACAGGCCGTGCGATGTCGCCTCCACTTGAGTCCACTTGAGTCTGAAAGAATGCATGAGGCAAGTTGTTCCACTCAAACAGCAATCTCTGTTCCACCTGTGCAAGTGTGAGTGGAAGTCTACCTGCAGCAATCCTACGTCCAATTTCGTCCCAGAATGTTCAATGGGAGCCATATCCGGGGAACGAGACGGCCATGGAAGAACATTAATGTTGTTCTGAGCCAGATAATCCATCGACACCCTTGCTGTGTGAGGGCTGTAAACGTCGCTGGCGTTGTTGACCTGTCAAAATTGGCCCAACATATGGCCGTCGGCAGTGGATTCCAGCAGCCGAAGACGACGCCTAATCCTATCGCTGGACACTGCTCCCCTTGACCCATGAACTAAGGCTGCTGTTATTGTTGCTGCTTGAGTTCGGTTCCTTAGATGAGTGACCCGAATGAACCGATCTTGCGCAGGAGGTGTCACCCTTGGCCGTCTGGTACGGGGACGGTCAGCAGCAACCCCAGTTTTCTGATGATGTTGAGCAAGTTGTGTAATGCTGGAAAGATGACAGCCCAATTGTCTAGCTAGAGCGGTTGCAGAGCTACCTCCGTGCAACTTTGCAATGGCCATTCCCCTCTGCTCAGTCGTTAGTCTAGGCATCGTTTGTGTGGCGTGTACACCTCCTAGCGTCAATACTCGAACTGTTGTTGACACAAACCTTTATAAAGGATACCTCAGAGTGAAATGCATGCTTTCCATCCAGAATCGTAGATGCACGTGCCTAAAATTATGGTTTTGCTGCACTGTGGGTGTGTATGAGTGTTTCGTATGGACGTCTAGTTGCATGACATCATCTCATCTGGGATCATTACGCCAGTTCATCATGAACGTTCCATAAACATGAACGCTTACTTTCATGAGATTTCTTTTTAAACTTGCGTTTCTTTTGCGGTTCAGTATATATTCCAAAAGAAAAGTTTTATGTAATTGAAGATGAGTGTTACTTTTGTTAGCGTGTCCTTACTACACTGAATTAAGGAAAATATATCTTCCGCAATATTACCATATATATCCTAATAATGTTAATTTACTAAGAATACAGCTATTATAATTTGCGTGGGGGATGTATATCCGCCATGCTTTTTGTACAAATAAATACGTTGGTAAACATTGTGATTTTATGCCATTATTATGATCTGTATTAGTACTATAGGCCGGAGGGCGCTACAGTATTCGAAAAAAGACATTTGAAATTGACAATATATTATACTTATAATTCAAATTATTAAAAGCTGTGTTGTTATTATACACTTAACATTGTAATTGTTAAGTATTTCATGCTTAAAACCTTCATAAAAAGAAGCGCACATAACACGAATTAAGAATAAAATTAACATTTAAGTGAAAAGTCAGGCAAATTCCCGATATAAGATACAAGAAGTAAATATGTTGATACGCTAAACAATGTAAAGGAAAACATATACCTGACAAAAAACAACATCTAGGAAAACAACGAAATAATTGTCATAAAGCGTTGTTTTCAATGTACTTGCCCTAACGTCCATATTGAAAATAGGGTGAAACTCTGGCGCCATAATTCGTTGGACAAGCATAGCAAGTTTCTGTTTTTAAACACAGTTGGTCCTATGAACGTTATATCAGCTAATAATGACCTCACTAACTCGACCCAAGAATACTGACCTGAGTAATCATCCAATCAACGTACATGTACGAAATTAGTGAGTACACACAGAATTAACGTCACATCGGCAATATTTCCCATATCGTGATAACGAAATTTATACAAACCAATACTATCATAAAACATTCGTCTGGGACTATTGTTCTCAGAATCATATTTACAACAAATGGAAGTACATGACAATACATGTGTCATACTTATGTCATACCAATACACGCAAATATATTCGCATGGAAGACCGTCAGGGTAAAAACTGAAATGATTACCAATGTCGCCAAACACCGTGACATACAATCGTACACTTAAGCAATGACCAATGCTATGATTCTGTGAAATTAGAGGATGAAGCCTATACAGATTATGGGTAGGTCAGTAGTTACAGCTTTCACTCGTTTCGCCGAAAGCCCGGGTTCGATTTCGTGAGTCCCCAACCCCAATATTGCAGGAATATTGCTTATGGCTCACAAGTACCACCACTTTTTACAGGGCTTCGAAATATGATAATATTGGCAAACATGTAAGAGTCAGCAAATTTCCTTTTTGTTAATTGCATTGTTGTATGAAGGTAGTTTTACGTCATCTCTCACAATGCAAGTTTGATCACAAGATCGTCAGGTTTTCTGACCCCCTTAGCCAAGTTCACAATGCTCTACCAATTAACTCTTCATTTGTTTCCATATCTACTGCAATGTTTACCTAACTTTACAACTTAACGAGTAGTAAAAATCCACTGCATGGTAGTGTCAGGCCGTTGGAAGTTATTCGTAATTTTATAATTGTGATTCCATGCTCTCTATATATATTTGTTTCCGGTACTGAAAGGCCACAGGCCTGTAGTACAATGCATTTATAAATCAATATTTACACGCACGGATAATATACATGAAGAAGGGAAAATAATCAACTTTAGGTTACATTGTGTTCTGAGATATATTCTGTCCTAAACAACATGGCATAGTAAGCAAACATGGACAAGTTTTGAAGTATAGAATGGTTTTTTGTTATTCAACAATGCCCAGAATTTATAAAGGTTTGGATGGGCACAATAATATTTCTTAATATACAACTTTCTGATGGAATTATAAGCAGGGCAAATTAAAAGAAATGATATTCATCTTCTATTTGGTTAAGATCACATAGTTTGCAAGTTCTATTTTCTTTTTGACATTTTTAAATCTTCCACTTTCGATAGATAAATCATGTGAAGAACATCTCAATCTGCTTTAACGCTATCCTATACTTTTTACGTTTAGATATGAAAGATAAGTTTCGGAGTCAAAAGTACATTTGAACATCTTATAATACAGACATTTACTGGAAAGTGATATCTTTTCAAACCATTCTTGCAAATACATATCTTTTAATCTTTGTGTTGTTAGTTCTAAAATAAACTTACCCTCAGAATCAACATACTGATCGTTCCATACAAAACCAAACCCTTTCGAGAATAGAAAATGTCTAACAGCAGAAACCCAATTTGTGTGTCCATTTTTATCAAATAGCATCATCATATTGTAACATTTCTTTGGTAGCCTATAAGAAGGCATCTTCAGTAATTTTAACCAGTATTTTTATAACTCTGATATTTGTAAATAAGTGCATCGGGTATTTACCACATTCTCCATACACCATTGCATTCATCGTATTGGATTTAACACCAAGAAATCTTTAACATGCTATCAATTGAACTCTTTCAATATCACTGTAATAATTCAAACCCCATATTTTGGCTCCATACAATAAAATTTAGCTTAATTTTGGCATCAAATATTTTAAAGTATGAACTTATATTTATGTCACCAAGTACATTTAGTTGTTTAAAGATACCTATCATGACCTTTTGTGCTTGCAAACAAGCGTAATTAACATGTGTTGTCCAAGATAAACAATTACTAAGAACATTCCCAAATATTTGTACGAACTGGTGCATTCTAATTCTTTACCTTTATACAACCATTTCTCGTTTTTGATAAACGTCCCCTTTTAAAACTACTACTTTAGTTTTATTTCTATTTACAGCTAATTTGTACTGGTCACAATAATTCTCAAGTTCTTGTATAAGTCTTTGTGAACCTGCAACAGTGCTTGAGAATAGCACGATATCGTCTGCAAAAAACAGAAGAAAAATATGTACTAGGTCAGGGTGTAACTGTATTCCATACTCACAATTGTTTTCAATTTGGGTTGCTAATTCATTTATGAAAAATGAGAATGAAAATGGGCTAAGTATACAGCCTTGTCTTTACCCCCGATTTGTAGTTCAAACGAATCTGAGAATTCATTGTTATTCTTAACACAAGCTTTAACATTTTCATACATATTATGAATCATTTTTTCATTTTAGGACTTAGACCATGGGTATTAAAAATAGACCATAGCTTTTGTCTATCAACTGAATCAAATGCTTTTTCAGAAATCAACGAAAAGTGTATAGAGTTTACCACCTTTGATGTTGAGGGTATCTCTGTATAATACTTTGTAATATAAACATATTGTCAGTAGTCGTATATCCATGTCTAAAACCTGCCTGAGATGGCATGCATTCTTGTACATTTCCACATTACTGAAAAAATCAGGTATACCAAACATGTCTTCGATCATACTACTCTGTGTAATACTTCTAGCATATTTCATTGCTACAACATAACAGAAAACCATGCATATATAGGTGTATTGCTTGCACTGGATTGCCTAGTTTTTTGTGATGAGGGGAACATGTTACACATTCAAATACTTCAAACATTTCAGAATACACATAAAATCCGAAAACAATGTCAAATAATAGTTGAACTTTGTTCTCTATTATTTTCACGAACCTGACTTCCAAAACTGAATGCAAGTTCTCTCGCTAGACGAATGCAAGCTACTTTTGAAGGAGCACTTACATGTCTGTACCGTTTTCAATTATATGTGATTAGGTACTTTGGATATGCTTGTGTGTCATTAAAAATGACAAACATTCCTGGTTGTTGGGTGTTTTCCACAACAGAATCATAGAGAACTGCTGGAGTGGCCGGATCTAACGGAGGAGGAACCCTCATCCCAGACTTGCCCAGAGTGTACGTCCCTGTCAAAACGTCCACAAGGTATACATACTTGTTGCCGAGAGGGTCGGGCGCGAGTATTTGTCCTGTGTTGAGTAGTTGACGTCGACGGCAAAGTAGACCCCGTTGCCATAGGCAACAGCTGAAAATGAACTATAAATTAACGCCACGTTTGCATGTCTGCGAATCACATTTCTTTGATTATGACTTATAATCCCTTAAATTTTGATCACTTAATACCTTATGATCACTTTAAAAGTAGCATTGCACTTACCATAAACTTACCATAAATGGACTGGTGTACCAAAACTAAAGTCAAAGGCAGTTTAGAAAGTGTCTATGCTTTCATGTCATGATATGTGCTTACATTATGCCCATACAGACAACATGAAGCATTGTAGACAATGTAGAAAGGTCTGGTTCGTCTTATATACTACACAACTGCAGTCCTACAGCAACTGGATACAATGAGGCAATACAGAATGAATGCTAAGAAATTGTGAGAATACCGTTAGGGCAGTAACCCGATGTACAGTGACCCCTTGCATCACACCCCGATGCATACCCCATCACACTATGAGTGTTGTTCAGTATGGCACAGGAAGCAATGTAAGTTTTAAATGCATAAAATTAATGTGCAGAACCAGAATGAATAATACTTTGGCAACTGCTTTTAAAACTGCACAGCTTTTGTCAGCAACCAGACTGGTGTACGTACAGTGAGTGAGTGAGTGAGTGAGTTAAAATTTAAAGTCACATCGGCAATATTTCAGCCATATCGTGACTAAAACTAGTTCTAAATTTATAATACATACATATAATATATAAAACCCTGTCAACGAAGGGCAGTAAAACCACTAGATTATCACAAAATGAGTTAAAACTAGCTAGCATATAACTTTAAAAGTAAAAAACTATTTTTAGACAATACAATGTAAAAATCGGCCAGTAATTGCCAACAACTGAAGGTAGATCACCATACTAGGGACCATGGGGACTTACAGTACATTTGCTTCCTGCATGGACCCTAGCTGGATTTACACCATCCCCTCAGCTATTAGCAATGTTAGATAATCTAGCCATAAATTAAACGAACATATATTCTACGATTAAAAGAGTAGTAGGTTTAAATTTACTTTGAATGTTTTGGGACTTACGTACCTTCTCAGTTGGACAATAATTTTACGCTACTTCAACCCCTTTGAGGGCACTGCCACTAACAATCTAAGTTACTAATCAAATCTACCAATAATTAAAAGACATATATGTACAGAACATATTATTCAAAATTCATTCATTAAATCAATTTCTTTTTAATCCTTGTACGATGTTTGGGGTAAAAAAATGACCCCAGGGCTCAATAGTCATTAAAATAATTAACAAATTAAAAATATTTTCTCTGATATTTTTGGTATTCCTCAATCACACATTTCTGAAAATATTTCTGCCAAAATGCATAGATATATACATACGATAATGATATGAATTTGTTTTATTGCACACACCCTCTAAATATTCATTATATTACACTAAATATGTTTGGGGTCATCAGTGACCCCAGTGTAACCGCTGTTCGCATTTCCCACTCTAAACTTAGGGGAATAACTCTCAATTCCTGGAATAGTAAGCACATGGTTGTTGAAGCTTGCAACCTTCACTACAGCACTGAACAAGTATGAATCGTCGAGAACGAAACATTTTTAGATGATGAAGAGAGATTCAGATCAGTGAGTCTAAAGAAAGTGAGGAATCTGAAGATGATGACTATCAACCGACTTCTTGCTCTTCAGGCGAATGTTCAAGTTCAGATTCAGAGTCTGAATCAGACCAAGTTCAACTGAACGAAAATGATTCTTTGCTGCTAGGGATGGCACTATCTGGAAGAAAAAAGCCATTTACTGCTGCGAAAAACACCACCCAGGAATATTATTAGACAAAGCGGATCCCAAAATTACAAATGTCCCTGATAGTGTGAAAACAATCTCCGCTGTATTAAAGCTATATTTTGCACAGGACATCATCAGTATATTTGTAGACAACAGAAACATGTATGCAAATGCTGTATGTAAACAATCAGGTAAGGAATGGGTGAACACGGACAGTGTGGAAATCATTGGTCTACTTGGAGTACTGATCACTTGTGGAGTAACACATGGTAACAACCTCAGTACTGAGGTACTATGGAATCCCAAACATGGTACGTCTCTTTTTGCGGGCTGCGATGTCACGGGAACGTTTCCAAATCCTGATGACGTATCTCCGGTTCGGCGATAAAGGGACAAAGAAATACGTCAACAGACGGACAAGTTAGCCCCTATTAGAGTGTTGTTTGACTCATTCAACACAAGAAATTAAAGAGGTTCTATTCACCTGGCCTTTTCTCACAGTCGACGAGCAGCTTTTTTCCCTTCAGAGGTCGTTGCTGCTTCAAGCGGTACATGCCATCGAAACCAGACAAATACGGACTCTCAGGTTTTTCTGGTTAGTAGATGCTGAGACATTTTATCCTCTGCAATGCTATCCTTATTTGGTAAAGTTAATGGACAGGTTCAGATTCGCCTAGGTGAGGAACTGTTGTCAAGGATCTATCTCGTCAAATATAAAGGGTCAGGGCGGAAACATCACAACCCAGACAACTTCTTTACATCACTCGACTTTGCCAGTGATCTTGGGAAGGTAGCCTTACCCTCCGCAAGGAACAGTGAGGAAGAACCGGAAGTTTGTGCCCCAAGACTTCTTGCCCAACAGAGCACGACAAGTCGAATCATCTATTTTTTGGATTCCGGGAGACATCAACACTTCTGTCATAGGTACCCAAGAAGAACAAGTCTGTCTTACTCTTGTGTCCACAATGAATAGCACTGGAGACGTTGTTCCTGAGAACCACCACAACAAACCTGAAATCATTATGCAATATAATGAAACCAAAGGCAGCGTTGACTCGGTTGGATCAACTTTGTTCACAAGAGTATATGACCAAAAACGCGACAAACGGTGGCCCATGGTTTATCTGATGAACATGTTGGATGTTGCCAGTGTGGCGGCATACATCATTTGGATAATGAAGAAGCCAGACTGGTTTTCTACACGAAACAGTAGACGTCGTTCGTTTCTACAACAACTGGGCGAAGAACTCAGCTTATGACCAGATAAAGCGGCGCTTTGACAGTAACATTGCTGCTCGACGCTCACTAAGACTGGACTTCGCCAATGTGGAATCCAAGAGCAGTAGAACTGCAGCAAGTAAAGCTCGCCCTCTCACTAGAGCCCCCACCAAAGAGGCAGCGTTGTCACATCTGCCCACGCCACATTGATGTCAAAATTGCAATGACAAAGCGAACCAACATGTTCGGTTTGTCAAAGGTGGAAAACCTCAGTACCAAATCATGGCATGGTCAGATTTGTTTGCACCGAATGTGATCAAAGCCGACTAACTGAAGCTCGCTTTGCATGGCCAGAAGTGTGTAAACAATATTACATTCACTAGAACGTTATAAATAATAACACCATTTATTTTATTTTCAGTATTCTGCCAATATACAGAATGTTATTGTTAGTAAGGGCAGGATCAGCAGCCCCACGACCCTTCCAGATTTTATAACTGAATTGTAAAACGTGGTGTCATACATACCACTAGTTGCCCATACATATACTTGTACACCTCCTTCCTGGAGGTGCCACTGATGAAGCAAAATATGTGTTAGAAGCCGGCAACATTGAAATGAGCCACTGGCATTAGCCTCCTCCTTTAGCAATTCGAAGCTTGAACGCTGCCCACACACGAAGCCATTTTGAACATATTGCTTTTTGCTAACCCAAATATGGAGATAACAACCTGGGGGTCATATTTGACCCCAAACATATTTAGATGCCATTTTTCGGCAACATCGCACAAAGGGTTAAAAAGCCAATAATTAAATGAAAATTAACAGTGTTAAAAGATCTTTAACTTATTTCACATTGAAGTATTTATCCCTTATGATGGAGAATTCAACACAGTCAAACAGGACATGCTTGACCGTGGTTCTCTCATCACAAGGGATACAAAACGGAGGATCCTCACCTTTCAATAGGTATGCATGAGTGTATCTAGTGTGGGCCAATACGACATCGTCGCATGATGACCTCTTCAAATCTGGACTGACAACCCAAATACGTGTAACCGATATAGGGTTTTATTTCATGTAATTTATTGATACCCTACTTGGGTGTCCCACTTCTTCTGCATCAGATCACGGATGTAAGTTCTAATGCTAGCTTTGTAATCAGAGTATGAAATAGAAGTGGTGTCACAGATTTGTTGAGTGCTGCCTTTGCAGCAAGATCGGCCATTGTATTCCCAGAAATACCAACGTGGCTGGGTAACCAACAAAGACGATGTCGCATTGGCCAGTAGCAAGCTCATTATACAATTCAATAATTTCTAATAAAAGTGGATGTTTACAAGAAATATTTTTAATAGCCTGGAAGAGACGACGAAAGAGAATCGGAAAATATAATGTAATCTTTATATTTACGGTGTTTATTAATGTATTGAAGAGCTGTTAATATGGCCCTTAGCCTCTGCTGTGAAAAATAGAGCTGTTGTTTGGTAGTCGAAGATATTGTTCTGGACCCAATGACAATGGCACATGCCACCGCGCCACCATCCTTGGACCCATCTGTAAATAAGGATTTGTATGTATTATATTTATTTTTTTAATTGATTATATTCTTGTTTGTATTGCAATTCATTAGTTTCAGATTTCTTAAACTTTGTCAGAGTTAGGTCAATTTCAGGCCTCACCAGTTGCCAAGGAGGAGAAGAAAGAAGACGGGAAGGAGCTATATTTTCCAGCTCAATGCCGGCAGCAGAAATTAATGGCTTAATTCTGTGCCCAAGAGGAGGAACAAGAAAAGGTTTTTGTTATACAAATCCTCATAAAGAGGATTAAAGACACAGTGAAATGCAGGATTAGACTCGTTAGAATATAATTTTGTAATATATTGTAAAGATAATTTTATACGGCGTTGGTTAAGAGAAGGTTCATCTGCCTCGACGTAAAGACTGTCAACAAGAGAGAAGTTCTTAAAGGACCCAAGACAAAGTCTCAGGCCTTGGTGATGGACAGAATGAACACTTTTGCAGGCTTCACCATATACGATGGAGCCATAATCAAGTTTCAAGCGGACCAATGATCTATATAAGTGAAGGAGGGTAGTTTGATCCCTCCCACTTTGAATTGGAGACAACCTTTAACAAATCCGAAAAGTGCTTTCAGGCATTTAGCTTTAAGGGATTTAATATGTGGCAGGAATGTTAAATGGGAATCGAAAATTAGGCCCAAGAATTTGGACTCTTTACAACTTTGATAGGAGTGCCATTTAAAGATAGTTCTGGGTCCTTATGAGGCTTATATTTTCTACAAAAATGGATACAATTAGTTTTTGATTTAGAAAATTTAAAGCCGTTTTCAAGACACCATTTATTTATTTTGTTTAAACATAACTGCAGTTGCCGTTCAATAGTATGCATATATTTTACCACGACAAGAAATATTGAAATCATCCATAAATAATGATCCATCAATTGAATCATTTTAAAACCTTGGACAAACTATTGATCTTGATGCTAAACAGTGTGACAGACAAAATACTGCCTTGTGGGACACCCTGATCCTGATTAAAATGATCAGACAGGGTTGAACCCACTCGGACTTGAAATTGCCTTTCTTTTCAAAACCGTGATATAAAAGAGGCAAACAGCCTCTCAAACCAAAAGCATGTAAATCCTTCAAAATGCCATGCTTCCAGGTCGTATCATAAGCTTTCTCAAGATCCAAGAAAATTGATACAGCATGTTGTTTATTTACCATAGCATTTTTAACAAAGGATTCTAAACGTACCAAATGATCAATGGTACTCCGATTTTTCCTGAAGCCACGTTGAATATTGGTTATAAGGTCATTGGTTTCAAGATACCAAGTTAATCTATTATTCACCATACGTTCCATGGTTTTACAGACACAGCTAGTGAGAGATATCGGTCTGTAATTCGACGGATCTGTATGATCCCTGCCAGGTTTTGGTATTGGGACTACAATGGCATTACGCCACGAAAGAGGAAATTCTCCAGACGTCCATGTTTGATCAAATATATCTAAAAGTGTAATCAGACATGGTTCAGGTAGAAGTGTTTCAGTAGCTGGTAATGTATATTGTCATCACCCGCTGCAGTGTCATGAGGTTGCTCAAGAGCAGTATGTAGCTCATGTAATGAAAACACTTCATTATAATCTTCACCGTTATGTGATTTGAAATTAAGTTTTGTCTTTTCCTGTTGCTTCTGATATCTCTGAAACTCAGGGACATAATTTGCCGATGATGAATTTTTGGGCAAGAGTTTCGCCAATTTTATCTGCAATTTTAGATTTGCCCGTTATTAAATTATTGTTATATCACTGAAACATTCAGGTCGCAGTTTCGAATTTTACATATAGTTTGATATAAGAGACCAGTTAGCCTTCGAAAAGTTCCATCTTCTATACGATGGGGAATCAGATGGAGTTATTTCAGAAAGGATAGTTGGGAAGTGGTCACTTCCACAAAGGTCATTATGAACAGACCAATCAAATTCATTCAGGAGGTTAGAATCTGCAAGAGACAAATCCAGAGAAGAATAAGATAAGTGCCAGTTGCAGGATGCAGATAGGTGCTTGAATCATCATTAAATATGCACAGGTCATTATTGGAAATGAAATCTTCAATTATTTTGCCTTTAGTATTAGATTAAATTACTGCCCCAGAGTGGAGTTGTGACCGTTTAGGTCACCCATAATAACACATGGCTTTGGGAGTTGATCATAGAGTGATTGAAGATCAGTCAGTTGAAGAAGGTTCGATGAAGGCGGAATATACAGAGAGCATAACGTAAATGCTACACCCAGAGTAAGTCGAACTGCAACAGCTTTGCGATCAGTGTTAAGTGTAACAGGGCTGTGAATAACATCCTGTCGTATAAGGATAGTAGAACCTCCCGTGGCTCTATCAACTGGAGGGGAAAAATAATGATACGGGTACAAACTGACGTAAGTTAAAATTATCTGTCTGTTTCAGATACGTCTCTTGCAGACAGAATGCTGATGGTGTTAAATCCTGGATTAATAGCTGTATTTCATTCAAATTTGTCCGTAGTCACTCTACAGTTCCACTGCACGATATGTTTAGATAGACCTATCTCTTAGGCGGATTAATGGGGATCTACCCGCACCGTTTTCGAGGGCGACAAGCTGTGTGCCCTAGAGGCGGCGGACGTTTTCGGACACGTCCATGTCCTCAAGTGATCCATATTTGGTGTACAAGTTAATTCTATTTTCTGACCCCTTTGGAGCTCTGCCACTTAGCTTTTTAAGGAATCTGGCTTTTACCTTTGGTTTTAGCAATTTGTTGAGACCTTTCTGTTGACTGTGAGGATGGTTCGTGATCAGAGGATGTCTCTGATTGGATTCAGGGAAGTACTAGGAAGTGGTTCTGCTGTTTGAGTAGATATGGCAGGTGCGATAAGTTGGGGGCGGTGGGGTAGCCTAGTGGTTAAAGCGTTGGCTCGTCCACGCCGAAGACCGGGTTCGATTCCCCACATGGGCACAATGTGTGAAGCCCATTTCTGGTGTCCCCGTCGTGATATTGCTGGAATATTGCTAAAAGCGGCGTAAAACTAAACTCAGTCAGATAAGTTGGGAGGAATCTGTTTTCACCCATGTTAAGTTAGTCTGACAACTCGCAGATGATTTGGTGACTGCAGATGGTGTTACTGACGTTCTGGCAATGGAAGCTTATAGCTTTGTGTTTGTTCTGAGCTTTGGGCCAGTTTCTTTGCGTCTGCAAAACTAATATTTTTGGTTGATAGCCATTTGCTCTTTCCAAACAGGACAGTCTTTAGAGAATTGATGGGTGTTCCCTTTGCAGTTAGTGCATTTTTGTCATTACTGTCACAATCTTCTGTTGTGTGTCTTAAGTGATTTGGGAGCAGTGGGTGAAGAGAAGGAAAAAAGATAGGTATTAGTTTTAATGGTTGTGTTGTTTTACGGGTTGAAAACGTTTGACATATAGGACACCCTGATCTCTCATCTCAGAAACTATATCAAGCTCAGACATGTCTGCAAGCAAGCGATCGCGGACTCGCACGATTCCCTTTCTCGTGTTCAGAGTTTTATGGGCTGTCATGGTAACTGGAATGCCAACAAAAGTATCTGTGGTAACAAGTTGGTTGACTGTTGTTTTGCTGCACTCAACCAACAGCGCACCAGAACGCAATCTTTTAATGCTCTTTACATCACCGGCAATGCCTTGAATACCCTTAGACACAGCAAAGGGTTTAACTTCAGTGGGGTGTCATCTTTGTTTCAATAACAACAAAACATGGCCAGTACTCAATTTGTTTGGGCAGTCTGAAGTCGTTTTCCGGAGGATCATTTTCAAGAGGACGTTTGCTCTTTTTAGTGGGGTTTCGTAAGCCATGTTGAGTTTTTAAATTTCATCATCTGAGCTCCCCACCCACCACGGAGTATCACAAGGACAATGCTAAAACAAGTGGGTCTCCGACTTGCAGCACCAAGGATACTCGGATGATATACTCAAGCAGAAAAACTAAACGATTAATTTTTCAACCAGATTGGCCCATGAGCCACTGCCTTCTGGGCATAAGACTCTAGGAAAAGTTCATAATATACATATTACAAAGTCAAATGCTGTTCAATAACAAAGGGTGCCAAGACTAAAATGTAAACAATTCCAAATAAAATTTTGTGCAGTTATGTAAAAGCCATGCACAGGGCTTGGCGTGACCAGCCAATTGATAGAACCGGGCCAGTTCTACCACCCCTCTAGGTGAAGTAAGGGTCGAAGTGGTGTACAGAGCCTAAAAGGGTATCAGTTTGTAGTGATTTGCTTATTAAATGACCGATATCTTAAACATGTTGTGTTGTAGCTTGGTTCCATATGGTTTCACAACATTTGTACCTTTCCATTACGACCCACTGGTTCTAGTATTATAAAATACTGCCATACACCATTATTTGTGTCTTTCCACCAAATCGTACTAAAATTGTCACAAATCTTATTAGTTTACCATTTTTGCCACAGTAGCTCCTGTTGAAGCCGTAACTGTTGATGGAAGGTATGGCTTCTGTAGCTGTTCCGTGCCAGAGTTGTCTTTCCTGCTTTGTCGCGGATTGTCTCTTATTGAACTCCTCTTTCTTGGCCATGTACTGCTTATACAGAGACTTGTTCTGGACACGCTCGATCTGACAGCAGGGTGAAAAATACACACGTATTCATAATAAAGGTAAGAAATTCCAATTTCTCAATGTACACCTCAAGAGTTCAGTTCACCAATTGGGAGAAAGCAAATGGATTGCGACAACTTCATAGTCATATGTCAACACCTAGGCTATGAAAGTGTAAGAAGAGAATAATCCCAAACATATGCAATACAAGTGTCTGAACACTATTGTCTGTTAATGAAATGATCGTACTCGATATAGTAACTTAAAGGGGTACTCTTGTCCTAGGACTTCCCAACACAATTAGGCAACTGCAGTTTTCAAACAATGACTTATATCGCATACCTACCGATACAGATGCAGCAGGAAGAATATGATTTAAAATTTAATACATGCGTGTATAAAAGTGGTGTAATACTCACTTTTATTATCGTTCTCTTTGAGCTGGAAAATGACCCAGCTATATTTCGGTATTCCGCACTGTCGTGTCCTATCCTGCAGACCTTTAGATTCTCACTGGCACCCATAGGCTCCCAATTGTGTGGAGGGTCGAACTCCGCAGCTGACCACAAAAAACACTTAACATTTACAAAAATGAATAATTTACTGAAAAAGAAGAGGGCGGAGGAGAAAAAGAGGAGGGGGAGGAACATGGAGAAGGGGAAAGGGAAGGAGAAGGTGGAGGAGAAAGAGAGAACTGAGGATAACAAGGAGAAGGGGGAAAGAGGAGGAGAAGATGAAGTAAAATACGTTTTTAAGGCGCGTTCTGGGATTATCGCATGTGCATGTTCGTGGCTGCTTGAACAGATTTAGATTGTTCATAAAGTACCAGAGTTTTACATATATACCCCATTCAGTCACAGTTTACTGACTCAAAACCGAACTGTTCTGACCGTCCCCGTGGTGTAGTGGTTAGAGCGTCCGCCCAGTGAGCGGAAGGTCGCGGGTTCGATCCCCGACCACGTCATACCAAAAGACGTTAAAATATGGTACTTGTTGGTCCCTGCCTGGCGGTCGGCATTAATGGGTACAACAAGGACTGGTCGGCTCGGAGTCAGTATAATGTGTCTGAGTGGGATATTCGTGCTTCACTGCGGCATGGTATCTCAGTGGGCTAGCACTATAAAACCAGCTTCAGTCTGGGCTAGTACAAGCAGCCGCACATACACATACACACGCATGCACGTCGTCATATGAGCAAAATATTCTCAAGCACGACGTTAACCCAATTTCACCTCACCGAACTGTTCTGGGCTGAGTCCCTTAATGTTGAACGGCTGACAAGGTAACACCAAGAACCAGCTTGGAACGCCTTTTGGTATATGGATTGAAACACTCTAGACAGACGCTCCTCGGCACTATGAAGGTGGTCTCAGTGGGAAGAGGATGTCGTGCTAGTTACACCCTGATGTGTACGTTATATATTTAATTACACATGTGTGCCACTCAATTAATGCCGAAAATATGGGGGAACTAAAGAATATTCTTTCAGTCTTTCTACGCAACAATATGTCACATAATAGAATTTTGACGGTCGTTGAATCACAATGTGGATCTAAATTCCATCACCCACATAAATGCCTTTGACTATATTTGATGGATGCGCATACATTCTGCAACAACTACTGGTTGAGTAGTGTGCACTGCAACATACCTTGGATGAGATCCTTTCTGACAACGGTGACCTTTGTGCTCATGTCATCGTCTCTGTATTCCACCATGTCCTTAAAGTCTATTATGTATTTCATCCCTTCTATATCTTCAAGTTCATAGGTTTCTTCGCTGCCTCTAAATCTTTTCTCAATGAGTTTGTTTGTATTCTGGTCGTATTCCACCAGCTCCTCGTCCCCATTGTCCAAGACGTCCATGTAGAACCACTGCACACAGGCTCCGACAGCTTCTGCATGCTCATCATCCTTTTGCTCCAGACAGATTTCGTACACAGATGTTCGGGTTGCAGCAACGTCGTCCTTTAGACCCTGGATTAGGAAACGCATCATGTGAAACTGAATTCCAAGAAAGCCTAAGATGACATCCCCGACATTCAGTGTTAATTCAAATTACCTATATTACTGAACATCACAGCTAACATAAAAAGATGCCAAGGTAAATGTAGATGTCCGAGTGACGACTTACCTGTAATCTAATTCTACCAATGCGTGTATTGATATCTATGGACACTCCACGCTGCTTCGCAATGACTTGTAGCCTGCAGATCTGAATAAGATACAACATTGTTTGTCATCTATTTCATCAACTGAATCTAATAGTTAACAGTAATCCTGTCCGATCCAAAAGACAAAAACAAATGTGTAACTGAATACTAATAAATGGTTTCAATAATGAAAACTTTATAAATGATTTGTAAAAGGTTGTAGTTAAGTGAAATATTCTTCCCGAGAGCATTCATGTTGTGGTAAGTGTGTCACAATCTATAATACTGTAACACCTTTTCCCAAACAAATCCACTGTGAAAGCCCTTGAAAGAAATCAACACATTTCTCGTAGTTTTACTAAAAAAACGGGAGGTGACAAACTTTTTCTTCATCCAAGGTCTTGACTGTGTCATGCTGAACAAGCTGGTCATCGAACTCTTCACTACAAGCATTTACAAGTTTCTCCTTTGCAGAATGAATACATTCACGGTTGTCGGAGAAGAATTTCACTACGACCCCATCAGGATGAATGTGTTCCTGGACATGGTGGAGTCGGGGTCCAGCTTGAGGGTATCCGGGTTGCGTTTTAGGCCTCGCGCCTCCCTGGCCTACAGGGGAATAGGAAGTTGTTGGTCATGTTGAACATTGTAAGAAAAACACATGGACAGGGACCATATTTAGCATATCTGGGCTAAAAACATTACTCCTAGTCATACAATTTACAGAAATGTAGGAAAGAGTGAGTGAGTGAGTTAATATTGAACGTCACATCGGCAATACCTCAGCCATATCGTGACGAGAACATATTTCACATTGAAATGGAATATATGTATATGGTAAAAACCTGTCTACGAAGGACAGTAAAACAACTAGTATAACACAATTACAACTAAAACTAGTGTGGAAAGTTAAAACTAATAGCACTATCTGGACAAAACAATATAAAAACTGACTATAGATCGCCAACAACTGAAGGTAGATCACCATACTAGGGACCATGGGGACTTACAGTACCGTTGCTACCTGCATGGACCCTAGCAGGATTTACACCATCCCTTCAGCCATTGGCGTTTATACTGAGATTTAGCCATACATTAAAATGACAAAAATACTACGATTAAAAACCTGGTATACTTAAATTTACTTGAAATGTTTTGGGACTTACGTACCTCAGGAGGACAATAATTTTACAATACTTCAACCCCCTTTGAGGGTACAGCCACTAACAATCGAAGTTGATAATCTAAACTACCAATTATAAAACCTTATCTATTTACAAAACATATATCAAAATTCATTTAACAAATCTATCTCTTTTAAAAAATCAATGATTAAATGATAATTAACACTATTAAAAAGGTCCTTTACTGTTTTGACATTGAAATATTTATCCCTAAATGTAGGAAAGAAGGCGAATATAGGTGTAAAGAGATTTGACATGTATCTGTTTCATTATCAGTCATAATACCTTTATTCCTGTCACCAAAGAAAGGCTTCTTAGCTATCCCTCGTCTGTTCAGCAGAGATGTCAGAAATTCTTTGAATCGGTCATACCTGTCTGCTTCGTAAAGAACGAGTCGCACTTCTGTGACATACTTCAAGTTCGACATGTCTTGCAGAGCATCATACAGATAGTCCATCAGCAGATGTTCAGGAACTCCCCCGCGAGGCCCTAGACAAATTGAATAATTTTGAAAACAGTTTATTTATTTGAGTAGTATATATTTTCCCCAAAACGATTGACTGATTTTGTTCTTGTATTTCGGAAGTACAATGATGGATAACCATTTCAAAACACCCTTATGCAACAGATTCAGCAAAATATGTTTTAGTTCGAGTCACTAAGTAACAGCTATAATCTCCATATTTTCACCCTGAAAGATATTTTATAAAAATTGATTTAGGGCTTGGGCTTCAGCGGAGTGAGTGAGTGAGTGTGTTTAGCCTTACGCCGCTTTTAGCAATATTCCAGCAATATCATGTCTAAGGGATGTTAGTCTGTTAGTCTGCACAGAGATTTACATCGCTTTAATTGACGTGTCCACTCGTGACGCCTCTATTCCAGAATGGATACTACATGTACAATGCTTACCTTGTCCAAGGGCTGGCAGAGCCACAGATGAACAGCACAGTTTATCTGCCTGTTTGATGCAGGTTTTCAGTATTTTTTTAACGTCATGTTCGAAGTGAAATCCCTCAAAGTGGATAACAGTGTTGAATGTCGCTCCTGCTACTTGTGACACTGTTAAACCTTTTGAACGGACATCTTTTTCTGTTGGAAAACGTAATGAGAATATACATGTATATAATCAAAATTAAATTTAGGTTCAAATATCATGCTTGTTAGGACATGGACTAGATATGATAGTAATTTAAATAACCCAATTTATAAATATATCTAGTTTTGGTATCACTGGTTTATGTCGAAAACATATGGGATAGAAATTAAATCTAGCTACTTATATACCGATCACTATGAATGTGAAACCCATATGTAGTTTTCACAGCCGTTGTTTTTCAAACAATATTGCAATAAATTTTCAAGTGCAACTCTTCTATTGTTCTCTCTAGAATATGTAATTATTCAGGAAGCCTTGTGCTTGACATATCCTATATTTTCTGGGCCGTGACATATTGACAAGTAGACATTCAAGACTATTTGCCAAAGTTCTGTGCATGCAACACATTTGACCCATATAATGTTCTCTGAAGAACTATGACAATCATGATGGGATATACAATCAAGCAGAATGATGTCAACAACACAAAACTGTCAGATATATCAGTTTCTACAATTATGCTCAGCAGCCTGTCCTGAAAACAACCTTCAACTCTATAATACATTGACGCTATATGTCCATAAGCCTTGCCGAAGCGTTTCCAGCTCACCCTTTTGTGTTCGGTTATCGGTTCCCACGCCTGGAAACTTTCGCAAGAGAGCCTGGTTAATTATTCCTGAAAGTAGATATGTTATGTAAAGGATAATTTTCTTAATAGTAATATTACATGGTCTTCCATCCTGATGACATATTTTCTGTTTTAGAAAAATGCTTAAATGTATTCTGGTTCTCACACTTTCACACAGTGACGAAACCCCTTAACTTCTGAAAAACCACGCTGGACTTTCTGAATCCATTTATACCTCCCACACTTTAATCGTGGATGAAATCAACCCTTATACTCACATCTGCATCTGATATATAAATGTAACAAACAACAAAGATGGCTAAAGGAATATACTTTCTTCAAAATAGGCTCTGAAATGGGTTGGTATCATGTTCTTTGTGTGTGTTCATAATGAAACTTTCTTCGAACATCAAGCATACAAAATCATGGTAAGTGTAGGACAAAAGTGTTTATCCTTTCTTAAATTACTGGTGTCATGAAGTTCACCACTATTTTGCCTTATATGACTGATGGAATCCGTGGGATAATTAAGACTTGTTCTCAATTCTTTGGTGTTGCCGTTTTATAAATGTTTCTCCAAAAAGGTTAACGAGAAATATATCTTTTCCACAGGACTGTATTTAATGAAGAATAATGGCAACAGCAACACACAGTCCCCGAGTTATGATGTTCGTGAACTCTTTTCGAGTAGTAGATATCAGTAATAATCCGCTGAGGACCTGGGTTAGAATTGGTCTTCAGCAACCCAGGCTTGTAAGAGGCGACTAACAGGATCGGATGGTAGATCGATGCTCATGCTGTTGGTCACTTGATTGTCTGGTCCAGACTTGATTATTACAGACCGCCGCCATATAGCTGGATTATTGCTATTGTTGAGTTCGGTCCAAAACTACATACAAACAAATAGTAAAATAATATTGACCAAATTTCGGAAATAATGGAATTGTTAAAGCGGAATTACCTTTCTGAAGATTGAACTGTGAATCCACACTATTTATGATACAGTCCACTTTTTCTTGTAACAAATCTCCATGCTTCAGAATGAAGTGGATGTTGCCAAATGTGACTCCTCCACTTACGTCATATGGTTCATCTGTAATGTGTATATGTCAAAGGAAGTATTTAATACAAGTAAATACCCATAAAACCATCTATGGTACTCACATATGGATGATGTCATCATTTATTGTTTATGCTATTTTATTCAGGACATTTAGCTAAATCAAACACTAGGCAGTTATGATCTATACATTGTCATAAACGAGAAAGGTTGAGTGTGATTAAATTATGGTTGGTATAACTGAGTCTAACATATCGGAAAAAAGCGCCAACCTGTGCATACGTTGTCTGTTTTCAGTTGTCTACCCCTCCTGATTGAGGTCGGCATGCCGTAAAATGATCTGCTCTCTTTTTCAAATGCCTTGGAAATAGAATGATTTGGCTGTTATCTATTTTGGTAAGAACTATGTATACCTCCGCATCATCATAATCATATCAACAGTGAGTGTGTGAGTTTAATTTTACGCCGCTCTTTGCAATATTCCAGCAATATCGCGGTGGGGGACACCAGAAATGGACTTCACACAGTGTACCCATGTGGGGAATCGAAGCCGGGTCTTCGGCTGTGACGAGCGAACGCTTTAACCGCTAGGCTAACCCCACTGCCTCCTATCAGCAGACATTCGTATATTCTTAGCCATATTTAACAATGATTCTTGCTATAGTTTCTGTATTAGATTCCAGATGTGTCCTACCTTTGCCACATCATTGTCTTTGTCATATATGACAATCTTGACATCAGTTAGCTTGGTGTCAGGATGGGATCTCCAGAAGGCGTCTGTGGCTCGGAACATTATCCTGGCAGACACGTCTTTATCATATCCGGACAATCCTATCCCAAGCGTTGGGAACAACAAACTTGTGTGCTGTTTTCTGCTCGCTTCCTCCAGACAGAGAGTAACAGCCTTGTGCAGGTTCTAGTGTAACCAAAAGATATCAAGTGTTGGAAGCGAATTACAAACTGCATCAGTGTCAGCTACCTGACTTCTTGCTCTCAAGCATATTGTTCAACTGTGACAAAAAACATTTGTTCAACTGTGACAAAAACATTTGCAGGTTTAAATCAATAAGTACCTTATAAAATGCAATTTATACTTCTGTGATTGTGTCAGATATAGAATATTTTTCAAGTTCAACGTAAACTGCAGTCTTTATGAGTTCCAAATTTCAGTTTCTGTAAAGTATGTAATTGCAGAATGAGTTAAATTTCAGTTTCTGTGTGTAATTGCAGAATCAGATAGCGTGTATTGCATAATTGATTGCTTTTGCACGCGAAGTCAAATGCCGTTTTGGGAGAAAGATAACATGACAATTGGAATACTGAATATGATGGCATACTTATTTAAATACCTCACTGCCCTGCACAGCGTCCCACGGAGGTATGACAACATGGTAGATTTCAGACGCTTGTAGAAGACCAGCTGAAGTCACTGCCAGTCTTTCAAATCCAGTTTGGTATATTCTTCGACATTCGGTTTCTATAGCCGGACCCGCAGCATCTGATATAGCCTTTGATAGTCTGCCTCTTGTCAGATTGAGCTTACGGTCTGTTGGATTCACAATAACGTCTGCCTGTGTGGTAAATTGCAAATGTGCATTTGTATGAGGGGGAAAACATGTTGTTACAAATAAAACATGTATTCCTATTAATGTATCAAATCGTCTTAAAATATATACGTGTGTACATGTTGTATAATATGTTTTGGGTGTTTTTACCTTAAACCTGGTAATTGATCCACGTGTAAGGATCACCCTCCTCCGAGAATCTGAAGCATAAATTTTCTTTCTTTAGAATATGGTTGATTTTGTGTTGGATTGCAATCAGAATTCATGCATTAGATCAGCCTGTGTGCGCTTGAGTTTGTGACAGATCGCTAAGTGGCTGACTAATAAAAAATGATGACACAAGGTCCCACAACGGTAAACATGGTCACATAGTGTAATCAACACATGTCATTTTTAGTCTAATACCAATCACAGGAAGCTGGGAACCTGTCCAGGATTTCATGCAAGCTAATAATCAGTATTTACATGTTTGATATCTACTTTATACATGATACTATGGAGACATAAACTACAGTGGCACTAAACGAAAAGAGACACGTGTACAACTCACGTGAAGTTCTTTGTCCATCCGATTCCATTTTCTGGGCTTTATCCTTAAACACCTGTGTAATCAACATATAGCATTCCTATCAGAAACGTAAACAAATTAGCTTATGTCATGTTGGTTTCAGACCTTCATTTCATCAAAGTAACCCAACACTGATGTGAGTAGACAATGCTATATTACTTACTGGCATCATGAATTTGGTGGTAGCCATGGGTTCAAAATAAGAAATTGACAATGTATGTCGGCCATAGTCATTTTGGATATGTGAGTGTAGAGACCTGGAGATCTGGCTGTGAGAATGCTGTTGGTGAAAGTTCTTGCGTGTAATTGGCATCATAACTATGGAAACCAAGACCGTGCTATTACCTGGGTTTGCCTATTTTATCACTTTACCCTCAGCTTCATTGAAATAATAGTTTACCATTCCAGTAATTACGATATGGTAAAGAGAAGCGCCAAAACCAGAAGAAATATCTGCTAAACATTAAGAAACAGACCCGCAAGGAGGGGAGCACAATTGGTGCCCATAACTATCTCCCATTCCAGTAATTACGACATAGTAAATAATTGTATTATTATTCATCTAAGAACGATAACGATGCCATGATACAATTATCGAAAGTATTTCTATAAACATAATTTGTCATTCTCCACATGAAATATTTGCTACTGAGATATTCAAGAAATATATTTTGTCATACTCTATGATGTTCCTTTAGATATTTTACGTGGCGTTTGCCTTTTCGAATTCTAGTTAACGTTGACCTTTCACAAGGGTCATGTGGTCAGATGGTATGTAAAAAATTATCATATCACAAATCTTCCTAGTTTTGTTATAAGGTGATCAGCCGTTACCTTGATGATCAACCATTGGTAGTTTAAGGTAACGTTTACATATAATGAGGCTGTTTAATATATTCTCAATCCTACAAGTGCATTGAGCATATGATACACCCGTTGAATACAAACACTCTATTTCGATGAATACTGAAGACCGACTTTAACATTTTATGGTGTAACACAAAGATTGTGATGTGAATAGAAATACACTAAACCTGTATGATCTTCCTGTTCTTAGGGTACAGGATAACTCTTATGTCTGTTAGGGATGTCCCTGGGTTCTGGGCCCAGAAGTCGCTTATAGTTGTTAACATAGCTTCGGCTACCAGATCTGGGGGATATCCAGCATTCCCTATACCAAGTGCTGGCATTGCGATGCTTGAACAGTTGTGTCGGCCAGCAGTTGTTAAGCATTCCTTCACTATGTCTGTGACATCCTGGAAAATAAATTCGTTGTGTTCAACTGAAATTCACAAAACGATTGTGTGAGGACAGGCACAGTTATGGTCATCAACAGAATAAACGCTAAATCTAATGGCATGTTTACTGTTTGTAATATCACCAGCGCTTTATGGCGACGTATGTATTTATTCCCAACTGAAGGTGTGCAGTTAGAAAAAAAATGAAATATGATGAGAACTGTTGAATTGGTGTTGAATTCAACGTCATCCTTTCACAATATCTTCCCTGGTAAACTATGGTGGTGCAAAACAATGTTTTGCCATCCAGCCATTGCTTCCAGAATGCAACTTTTGAGTTTTTTTATGAGGGAATTAAATTCAAAGTGACCTTAGCACAACCATGATATATGAGTTCGTACTTCGAGCACGGAAAATGATTTGTTTTTAATTAATTAATTAGACAAGTTATTTGAGACTCATGTGATGACGTGACCTCAAGTGAAAGTGACCTTTTACATGTCACTCAAAACTTGAAGGGATAGGAAACCTGTTCCACCAAACATACACCAGTACACTTTTTTTAATTCTAATTATCCAGGAAAATGTCAACAATCCTTATTGAAGCTCACCAATGTTGACACCTTTCACCAATGACATTAATTTCTGTCCAATACAGCTTTACCTTTGATACCTTTGGCGGCGACTGACGAAACCACGTTTGTGTTCGAAGTGAGAATGGCTTCAAATAAACATGATACACCTTTTTGCAGGTCAGCTTGTAACCAGATGTGATAACAATTGGACCAGAATTATTGTCTTTCTGTCTCCACGGGCAGCCTGTAATTCTGGTCCACCGACTTCAATAAGTCTCCTCGCCACTGGCCCTTCATGTTGTAATTCCATGTCTATGCTCCTTGTGGTGACAATAACATCTGCCTAGAACACAATGAACAATGTATTTATCAGAGTAAAAATTCAGTTTATACTAATCTTGTTTCTGTCTCCTCTAATTTTTCGACGTCTTGGTATGGCTGGAATACGAGCCTTACTGCCCCTTCTGTGGAATGGCTTTTACCCGTCTACACCGTCAACGCAGACTGCAGTGGACACGAACTGTGATGGTGTCAGCGACGTGACTGCGAGAGAGTGATCTTTACAGATGAAAGTCGATTTAGAAACGATGGCAGAGTTTGAGTTTTTCAACGTAGAGGAGAGCGACCGAAAGTGCGTTCAAGAATTTCATCCTTTCAACGGAAGAGGCGTCATAGTATGGGACGGCATTTGTGGCCAGAGAACAAGACTGGTTATCATCCGAGGAAATCTGAATACCCAGCGATGCAAGGATTAAGTGTTTCGTGGTGCTGTATATTCGACATAAGCCAAGAGGAGTCATTTTGTAGGACGACAACACAAGGCCTCACGCCGCCAGAATTGTTCATGAATACCCTGACAACGTTAACGTCAATCTATTGCCTTGGCTAATGCGTTCTCCAGACACGAACCCCACTGAACTTCTCTGGGATCATCTTGATCGACAGCTGAAACAGCGTGTACCACCTCCAGTGAACCGACAGGAACAGACTCTCTTGGACTTACGGAGCGAGATTCCCGCTGACGTGTTCCGCCGACTGACAATAAGATGTGTGTTGGTCTGTATAGATGCCCATGGTGGTCGGACTCGCTCTTGATGATGTGTCCCCTGAGTCCTGTCTCATTATGTGACTCTCTATGCACTTTTTGAATGAACTCTGCTTTGTGTAAAATTTAGTTTTGACCATTGACCATATGACTCTTTCTCAATGAATAACGACAAATGCAAGACCAGCATTACAATGAATTTTCAGTCAAAGTTTGTAAAAATAATTATCATAAATCTCACATATGTTCTTGTTTCTAATTTTTTGGGGTCAAGTGAAGTTGGTGATAACTTTCTTTTGCCAGGTAGTTTATATTCAGACGATGATAAATACGGGTAATTAAAAGTGTTATACCTTTTGTTGAGCAATGTCCCCTTCAACCAACTTTACTTTATATCCACTTTCCATCCCTGTTTGTGCTACAATGAACAAATATATACAATTAGAACATGGGATGAGAGGCGCTATAGATTTTATGCACATATACACTCATGTCTTGCTGCGACGTCAAAGGATGAAAGGAACGTCGCCTTCAAATTCAACTTTGCTTCTCATTACACTGATAGAAATATGGCTCATCATGGCAGTCATTGGCCAACATTATTATTGATGTAAGTACGAATAAAACAAATGTGCAAATATGATTTGTCAGAAATATACCCTTTTATGAATCAGTTACTGTATACAACTAAAATGATTAAGAAATAGATGCCGAGGTCTCTCTTTCTATTAATTGCAATAGTCAAGCGTACATACCAGATACTCTTTTCGGTAATTTGCGGGATGAACGCTGCATCTGAGCACCTGCCCCGCCTTGTGATCGTGGTTGAATGAGTACATTTGATTCCCCCAAGACATTTTGCAGAGATTTTACAAAGCTGTCCACAGTGTTGCGTTTATCTGTGCAGAAATATACATCTTTGATTGTACTGGATTTATGTTTCTGAAGGTAGTCTCTTACTGCAGTTGTTATAACTTTTGTAGCAGCATCTGTGGGATATCCAAAGATCCCAGCACTCAAAGCAGGTACTGCAATGGAACTACCCCCACGTCCGTCTGTAAGTTCCAGACTTCTGGTGACAGCTTCTCGCAAGTGTTCTTTTTCTTTCTTCTTGCCTCCTTCCCATCTTGGCCCTACTGCATGCACAATGAAGTCACAGCTACCTTTAAGTCTTCCTGGACCCGACAACACAGCATCTCCATCCAGAACCTGACCATAGGAATTCACATGCCTGTCACACTCCTCTTGTATTTCTTGTCCACCTGAAATTAGTCCAAAATTCATTTTCTTTCCTGCCAGATTTTATACGGCTGATAAATCCACCTTGCCGTATTAAACACTTGCTTAACAATGTATGCATTTGTAAATATCGTTTCTTTATAATATACAACCAACAATTAAACTTCAACTAATTTTAGACATTGTACATTTTTTTATTACTTTTGAAAATTCGATATTACCTTTGTCAACGATGTATTTGGCAAGACCTCCACAGTGATCCAATCTCTCGTTAGCAGCATTGACAATAGCACTGACTTTCGTGGTGGTAATGTCTCCTTCTCTTACATAGAGCTTCCTTCCACCAGCTATGTTGGAGACAGCCACTATGGTAGATGTTGGCTCTGGGCTGGCTGCTGTATTTTGTCCTGTTTGTTTTTCTTCTTCCTCCTCCTTCTCCTCCCCATTAATAACTTCAATCATACACCTTTCAATCTTCTCGACATGAGAGACAATCCTTCCACCTTTCTCTGTTTTCAGCATTCTGGCCATGCCAGCTTTCTGTAGTAGTTCCTTATGGGTTTGGACTTTATCAGCAAGGGAGGTCAGTTTCTTTCGGCTTTGGTCTATTCCTTCTTTTGAGCCATTAATGGTAAATTCCGCTCCATTCTCCTGGTATACTATTCGGACATGACAGTCCTTCAAATCTTTAGCAATTGTTGCCACCGCATCTTTGTTGTGGGCCAGAAGGAATCTGTGCACTCCTCTGGGAAACTTAAGACATGTCTCCTTAACTGTGTTGGATGACAGGAACTCTGTGACTTCAGCATACACACTTTCCACATCATCCTTTAACCCAGCAATGAGAAGATAACCTTTGTCTTGGACATTGTGAATACTGAAGGTGTCGGATAAATAATCAACCAACGATTTATGTAAGCTTGCCCACGATTCTGATTGCATGACTAACTGCATTTTGCCTTCGAGGAGAACAATTCTTTCCACCACAATACGAAGCAGCATTTCAGTAAATTGCCCTACGTTTTCTTCACTTGTTGAAATTACTTCTAGTGATGACTCTTTTGTATGCCATGATGCTTCAATTCCATCTCTCTTCAGTTCTTCCCTAACTCTTTCCTCAACTGCCTTTTTCTGAAGCACAGCCAGCTGCTGTGGGGAAATATGCTCAATCACTGAAGTTTGCGTTCCATGTGCAAGTTCATACAACTGAATCTTTGCTTCTTTCACAGAGGCCTCTGGACCAGACAGATTGATTACATTTCCATCATACCTGACACTCACACCTGAGAATTGTTTCATTCCCTTATTAAAAGCACATTCCCGAAGAAATTTGACTTGAAGAGGTGGTAAAGAATACACTTCTTCATTTACGATTTTATTCAGGCCTTTTGAGGATATTCTATCGGCAATGTGTTTCTCAACGTCTCCTTTGATTTCATTAGCTTTCGAGGGAATACCAACAATTGCTAGGACCTGCTTGTCAGTGAACATCTTTGCCTCTGTTTCATCAACACTGATCTGTTTTACCATTGTATCAACGTTGTCCCGCAATTCTTTGGGAATTGGAACCGAAAACTGAAGAACAAATTCATTTATGACTGACCTGGCCAAACCCTGAACATCTATTCCACCAGCAGCTTTTGATTCACACTCACTCCCAACTTTCCGGACAACGAACACTTGGTTGGACTCATTCAACTCCAGTGACAATCCGTAACCACATAGTTTTTCTTGAATGTTTCTCAGTACCTTGGGTGACTTCCTAAGAAATCGTGGTACAACTTGATGAACACCTTCAACAAGTACACCATCTGACATCTGGGATAATGTAGCGTCAGTGAACTCGGGAGACTGCCGTCCTATGCATTTGTGATGGAGATGGACTTTTATACTTTCTTCTCCAAGTGTGTGCACTCTTGAGCTTATCTGTTCAACAACTAAGAAAACAAACGAATTACGTTTAACAGGTAAATATGTTTCTTTCATACCTCATTTCTATATGTTCATTGATATCAATATTATTGAAGCCATCACTATGCCTTTCATGTCACCAGTGATTCAGGACATATCAGTAATCAATACTAAATTCAAGACTGAATAAACTTTAATCCCCATTGGTCTTAAGCAGATTATGTATTACAGTCTTTTTCCTCACCTCTGTGGTCAGCAAAATGGACAAGGTAGCATCCATCTTGACCTGATCCCTCAACTTTGACTACTTCCGTCTGCATATCATTGCCACATTTTCGGGTTTCGAAGTAATCCGAAATGGTTTCCGGGGCAATTGACACTGGGACATGCTCAGCTATCAGTACCTTGGTGGCAGGTACTTTGAACACTGTGACTGCTTTTGTTTGGAATGGTTTCAGGTTACAGGCTGTCTGGAGTTTGGGTATATCTGAAAGAAGGGCATAATGTCGTTTCTTAGAGTGAGTGAGTGAGTGAGTTTGGTTTTACGCCGCTTTTAGCAATATTCAAGCAATATCACGGCGGGGGACACCAGAAATGGGCTTCTCACATTTTACCCACGTGGGGAATCGAACCCGGGTCTTCGGTGTCACGAGCGAACGCTTTAACCACTTGGCTACCCCACCGCCCCGTTTGTTAGAGGCTGTATGAGCAAGTATGATAATATACAAAGATATACATAAACACAGACCAATCTAGAGGTCGACACGTACATATTCAACGTCAGCGCAAAAGGATGCCCAGTATCCGCAGTTCGTTAAACGCTTTTCGACTAAAATATGTGGGATTTCGTAACATCCGTCAGTTCGTTATGAGCGAACGTTACTGAACTTACCAACAGGGCTGTTGAACGTTACTAACAACGCATCATCTTTTGCTCCTTTCCTAACGCTCTTCACCTCAACACTGGCCCTTGCTTCAAGATAAATGGATAGGACCTCAGAGCCCTCATCGTGGTGTGCACCCGGGTACTTCAAAAGAACTTTGTCCACATAGACTGGCAAGGGCGTATAAGGTTTTATTTCCGCTTCTTCATTTGCTATGGTAACTTTGCCCATCTCCACGAGCCTCTGTGTGACTGTAAATATTCAAACAAACGTAGAGTACTGTCGGAAATAGAAAACAAAATGAGGGTTTTTTCACATTTACATCTACAATTTATGTAGTTAATATGTGTAAGTAAAATATTCTGATAAACTAAGTTTGGCCTAACTATAGTCCCAGTGGTAGGGAGAAGGGAAACGTCAAAAAAAGGACTTTACTGAGTAGAGATTAGTGCAGAAATGAGCAATGCGGTCCAAATCGACTTAATTGAAACAGACCATGGCTTTATGCAAATTAGAGTGCGATGATATTGTACTACAAAGGACAATTTTTATATGCCAATTTTGAAATTAGACATGGCTTCATCATAAATGATAGGTGACGTGAAAACATAATAACTTTAAAACTGAAACTATCACTATTAAAACAAACAGGTAGGAGGTTCGTCTCAAAAGCAAAACAAGAACGGGTGTCGCAGACGGTGGTTGGGGTCGGGCCGGGGGATAGATATATCAGCTAAGATAAGATAGTCCTTTAGGGGAATTAAACTGGGGAAGTAAACGGCATGTCATAACAATTTACAAATCTTCGGATTGTCGTGCCACCTATATATTTTGAGACATTAAATACGATGGCTGATTTAAGCTTTTCTATGGGTATCATACTCCTTTTACATAACTGAACATAAACTTTAAGAAAGAAAGACACGTAAGATGGAAATCAATAGATGAGACATATTCAACACACAAGAAAAAGCATAAAATATCTTTGAGATGACACTGTGCCTGTAGGAAGCACATGCATTTCATGCTAGTCGAGTCGACGGTCCGTCGTCATACCAGTCTGTCCTAATTGGCATCTATAGTCTGATCTGTTGTTTTCAGCAGCTATTCGTAAATTTTGCCCGATTTTACGAGTAAACATGCTTTTCTGGATATCCTATTACGCATCCCACTGAATGCCCAGTTAGGCCGATGTGGGTTATTTCGACATATGCTATTTGCAATTATGTAACTTTTAGGGATACTGTTTAACAGTCTAAAAACGGGGTTTTTTTCTATTTCCGACAATACTTTATTACCGAAATCTTAACGAGAGATATATTGCTGGGTCTAGCATATTTACCACCAAATCCTTTTCTCAATGATTAACCATAATACTATCAAGGAAGGTCTTTCTCGATAATCACAGAAAGTGTTTGAGACAAGCAGAATTATCACCATGTGAATCCGACATGACAAACGTAAGGAAACACTTCATTCCTTAATTAATGGGGCATTTGTAAATAAACATATTGAAACCAAGATATACCTACATATCTAATTTCAGAGCTGCGGGACATTTGATCAAAATCTAAAGCAAATGTAATTTACTGATAAAACAATATGTAAAATGTTGGACTTCTCCATAACTTATTGTAAAATGTTGGGGCAAAACATTTCGACAAGAAGTAGGCATCCTCATGGGCACCAATTGTGCTCCCCTCCTTGCGGATCTGTTTCTTTGTGCATACAATCAGAATTTCTGCTCAGGTTGACAAAATCAAACCAAGGTAATTTGGCCAAGAAGTTTAAATTACACTTCAAGTAGAGCGATGACGTGATATCATTCAATAACCATCAAACAGCCAATTCCCTTCCACTGATTTACGATCCTGAACTTGAAATTAAGGAGGCAAGTGAAACCGCCTCAACTGTTTCATTTTAGATTTACGCATACAGATTTAGAGTGACAATAAACTCTCCACAAGACAGAAAGACAGACAGACAGACAGGTTTTATTCAGTAGTTAAGGCCCAGTGGCCCAAAGTACAATTGAAGATGCACAATTTCAACTATTGGTCACGTGACATGAAATTATAGTTTTACATGCGATTTACGGATGGACATCAAATGTTTTATGAAAATGGCAACAGATTTGATAATATCAGCACTATTAGAATTAAGTACATCATATATCGTTTGTGGGGTATCATTAGAGTATTTTAAATACTTCTTTCGGCAGGCAGAGAAGGCATCACAGACTAATAAATGGTGTTCGTCTTCAGATATACCAGAAGAACAATAAGAACATGATAAATCTTCCAATGTATTATTATCTTTTCTAAAACGTTGTATTTTTAAGGCACGTAGAGAGATTCTAAATTTACAAAAAATTCTTAAAAGGGACTTATCATTAAGAACACTGATATATTTTTCAGGTCCGAACATCGATTTACATTTTGAATAATGACTAAGAAAACTGGATAAATTTTCTGATGCGTACGAATTCTGAACATAAATATCTTGTTTTCGTTGTTTAAATGTTGACAAAAATATTTTTATATCACCAACATCTTGCTTAAACCAAACATAAGAAAACCCACTTGAAAATAACATATTTCTAACATCTGAAGTCCATAATGCTTTCCACAATTATCTAGTGATAACAATAGTTGATAGCTTTGGTGGGGGTAGCGATAATCAGGAATTCTTATAAGTTTAATCCAGTATCTAATAACTCTCATTTGACTCTCAATATGCATGTTATATATATAACGTCCTATTTCGCCAAGTATAGCTTTATTGAAAGCACATTTACCTGCTGTAAGAAATCTTTTAAAATAGGATGCATAGACATTTTCTAATGGCCTCGAATAGTTTGATCCGTATAACAAAATTGGTGCTATTTTAGTGTCAAAAAGTAAGCAAGCAGAATCAAATGAAATAAACTTATTTACTTCAAAAAGTTTGAAAATAGAAATTAATGCCTTCTTAGCTTGTGCTGCGAGGGTTCTACATGCCATGGACCAATTTAATATCGACTGGAAGATTTTTCAGAATGTGCCACTATACCCCCGTTTCTAAAACAACTATACTAGATTTATCCATATTCAACTCTAATCCCCATGTGTCACAAAATGTTTGAAGAATATTCAGCTGTCTCTGCAAACCGTTTACCATAAATGAAAACGTATCAATATCGTCTGCAAACAAAAGTAAAAGTAAATCCTGGATTTGGGGAGTACCAAACATTCAGGCTGTATGACAAAAGGGATGTTTTGAACTTGCAATAGTCAACTTTCCTTTCATGTTGAGCAATATTCCAAGAGATCCTTGGGATGTTTTGAACTTGTTGCAATATTCCAAGAGATCCTTGGGATGTTTTGTCAAAGTCAACTTTCCTTTCATGTTGAGCAATATTCCAAGAGATCCTTGGGATGTTTTGAACTTGCAATAGTCAACTTTCCTTTCATGTTGAGCAATATTCCAAGAGATCCTGACTCGGTTTATACAACTTTTGAAGTACAATCGAGCATGATGTCTTTTCCATGATTCCAAGGACCATCATATGACTCTTGCTCAGAATTTGTTTCGATCGAGGTAACAAAATTCAAGGCCTCAGTAAAAATTAAAAATGTTTTAGGGTAGACATGTGGAGAACATTCCAAATTTGACAAAAACGATGTCTGATGCAATTCATACTTGTACCAAATTTCAGGTGAACAGATGAAACGCTTTTCCGTGTGTGTATAATGAGTGCCACGGGCGAGGCAGGGTACACTCTCCTTGTCGCGAACATCACTATTTTATAGAGATTCATAAACAGATGCTCAGTCATCATTTATCAGTGTGTCAATCACTGGATTGTCAGGTCAAATCTCGATTCTTTGAAGACCGCGTTGCAGAATGCAGCGTCAAACAAACACATACTCATGATATAGTCAATATTGTAAATCGACTCTGCTTTTAACAAAATTTCTAACGAAAGTGGTAACGGTTTTGTCGTTTCCATCTATAAAACCCACAGGAAATAACGTCACCATCCCTATAAGACTTTGTTGTTTTTAAGTCCCCATGGTTCCTAGCATGGTGATCTAACTTCAGTTGTTGGCAATATATAGCCTGTTTTATATTGTATTGTCCTCTATAGTTAAAGTATTTTAGTGTTAAATACCAGTTTTAGATTGAAATCTGTGATATACTAGGTGTTTTACTGTCCTTTGTTGACAGGTTTTTATAATTTACCTTTATCTATTGTAAAATTATAACTTGTTTGTAGTCACGATATGGCTAAAATATTGCCGATGTGACTTAAAATCTTAACTCACTCACTCACTTTGTTGTTGTTGATACTGATGTTCAATAGGCAAGTTAAAATTATGGGGATTTGCAACCTTAGTTTCACTTTATTTGATTTACTTTTTTATGTGATATTCATCGGTATGTTGTCACTGCAAATAGACTATAAGCAGTCGATTGCACGTGCATGCACGGGCTTGCACGATTTCACACGATTTAAAAACCAGTTCGGGCGCAAGAATGATTTCAAAATATGCGCAAAATTACTGATAATTGACATTTGTATGGGCAGACCAATGCTCATGCGTTCTCTGACTCGCATGTGGCACAGAACACATTTTGAAGATCACACGTTTGTCGGCCATGGTTGCTGAAGAGTGGACAGAGGATTTTCTTTCTCAAATTGACAGTTCGTTAGCGTCACATTTTCGACCTGGATGATATGGAAGATTTTGAAACAATCGAAATCTCTATGTGAGTCCACTGAAATAAAATTATATTTCGCCGTTTGTTGTGTCTTCATTGCTTCGGTATACCCTAATGAAAAAGTGTAGGTGTATCACTGATACACCTACACTTTTGACAGGTGTACCGGTCAATACACCTTCACTTTTAACAAAGGAAACGATGGCAACGAGCCCGGAAGTGGGGTATAATCGTGCTTCACTGCGGCATGGTATCTCAGTGGGCTAGCACTATAAAACCAGCTTTAGTTTGGGCTAGTACAATCAGCCGCACCTACACATACACACGCATGCACGTCGTCATATGAGCGCAATATTCTCAAGAACGACGTAAAACCCAATTTCACCTCACCTTAATCTTAACAGGAAGGAGACATCACTCAGAATGATCTAAAATGCACTTAAATCGGCTGAATGATTTGGTTTAGGCCCCTTGTCATGTTATTTATTATATAAGCAAAAAAAAACGGACATTGAGTACCATCATATATGTAAGTAACGCCCTAGGGACGCAACTCTGCTTCTTATAAATTATAGACACGATACTTACATGTACATGCATTGCTGACATTAAAGTATCAAATCAAGAACACATACCTTCAGAGTCTTTGAATGTAATGACAAGCATGTTGTTTTCCTCGTCGTGTTGGAAGTTTTCTATATCTCCTCCTCCTCGTCTTTCATTTTCAAAAAAGAACCTGTACTTATCCAAACTTCCTGAACCGAAGTCACACCCATGGACTTCAATTGTTCTTCTTGTATTCATTTCGTCAGGATACTTCAGTTGGTGAACTGGAGTGATATTTTTAAAACGTTATTTACACTTCACTGGAATGACAAAAAACACTCAACAAATTGTCCACATTGTTTGGTCACATACACTCTCCTTTTGCCATTTAAGACTAGGTTTTCTAAAACGTAATTTACACTTCACGGGAATGACAAATGCACTCAAAACATTGTCCAAATTGATTGGTCACATACACTCTCCTTTTGCCATTTAAGATTGGATTTTTAAAACGTTATTGTCACTTCACTGGAATGACAAAAGCACTCAACAAATTGTCCAAAGGGTTGGTCACATACAGTCTCTTCTTGACATTTATAACTTGCGACTTTTTTTGGTTCTAAGGGTCGGAAAGCAAACAAACATAGATGACCTCATTGAATTGTTCTCACCTATATGCTGTGTGGTATTTTCTAGAGGTCTTGCCACATTAGCGGAACTGGCTGGGTGGTCGACGGAGAGGGACGATGCTGGCATTCTGTACGGGGGAGGTTGCGGTGGCGGTGGTGGTGGCGGGGGAGGTTGCAGTGACGGTGGACCATATCTAAAATGTGGCGGATATGGATAAATTGAATCAAGCAGAGGTGGTTGTCCCTGATAGCTTGGAACAGGAACACGTGGGTACTGGTAAGGATGTTGCCGGTAGTAAAACTGGTTTGGATCGACAAGATAAAATGGCCGTTGTGGATGAGCAGGACCTGGAATGCCCGGATGATATACTGGATGGTTGTAAGGAACATAATTTGGGTATCTTGGTCGAAAACCATGTGAAGTCTGTTGACTTCCGGCTGTGCTGGAATAGTTCCTGTTCAATGACATGAATTCTTCAGAAATACCTGCTCTCGTCCGCGTCTGCGGATTTTCCACATTGTAGTTCATCGACTCAAAATGTGTCGGTTCTTCTGGAATGTCCTGACGAAGCCGATCATTTTCTGTAGGGGATGAAGAACCATTGTTTGCACTCAGAGAATGCATCGTCATCTGTAATTTATTTTATTATAATATTAATATCATATATTAAATTATTATACATTTTATTTGTAATTGTGTTTGAAATGTTGTCAGCCACCTATGCAAACACAAGTAGCCCTTTGGTTGAAAGAAAACCCTAAACAAATACATGGATTTCAGTTACATAAGCATTCAGATTAAGAACCTTTTAGCGAAAAAAACAATGTCGTTCACGTATACGGGTAGTGTTTGGATTGGTTTATTTTCTCAGTATCAATAAACTGAAATACTGACTGAATAATAGGCTATGTTGCTGCATCTCAGTACAATATTTTGGCAATAGATAAAATATCAGGAAGGATAATAGCTTTACAAAACAGCTGCTGTCAGTATTGAACAGTATCGACAGAACTTCTGATGAAAACAATATTAACAAATATGAAAACAAGTAACTTCATTTCCTCAATGTTTCAAAACCGGCAAGAATGATTTTTGTTTGAGTGGCATTCTGGAAAATGATGGTATAGAGATGACAAGACTTTATGGATGATCAACTTCTTTAATTTCAGAATAGCGACGTTTCGGTTTAGCTTCTTATACATGCTTGAAAACGGTCATCTCTAAAGAGTGGTTCTATTTTTGCAGAACAAGCAATACATACTGCAACACATAGCCCTTCAAGTAATACCATAGCCAAAAACATAAAGCATGCCAACGTTTTGCTTCGATCCTGTTCTGGCAATTTCAGGAGAAAATTTTACAGAGCCACTAACGCAGTGCTTACTGAGGCGAAATGACAATGGCCATAGATAGGTTTTTCAATATAGCAGCCATCGTGGCCATTTGTAAATCAGATTCGAAATTTGTAAACACATTCAGGTGTCAACATTGACGGGAAAATTGTTTGAAGTATCAGCTTCATTGGTTTAGGGCTTTCTGAGATGATGTTTACTATGTTTTTAATCACGAATATATTGTCTTCAACAAACGTTTACTACAAAAGGTGGCTATCTCACTGTTCAAATTATGCATCAATCAAAGATGGCTACATGCATGTTGAAATTCCAATTTTAATGACATAAACAGACATGAAACGCATTATGGTAACATACATTCATACAGAATTTCAGCTCTTGCAAACAATGTAACTTAAAATTAATTGAAGAGGAACACCACTCTTAACTTGTTGTCCATTATCTCCTTGATGAAACTGGCCGTTATACAAATATAAACCGAGAAAAAAGAACTTGCAAACTATGTAACTTAAAATTAATTGAAGAGGAACACCACTCTTAACTTGTTGTCCATTATCTCCTTGATGAAACTGGCCGTTATACAAATATAAACCGAGAAAAAAGAACTTGCAAACTATGTAACTTAAAATCAATTGAAGAGGAACACCACTCTTAACTTGTTGTCCATTATCTCCTTGATGAAACTGGCCGTTATACAAATATATACCGAGAAAAAAGAACTTGCAAACTATGTAACTTAAAATTAATTGAAGAGGAACACCACTTTTAACTTGTTGTCCATTATACTTGTATAGAAAAATATATTCCATCATATTATTATAATTATCCGAACACTACTACATTTCCACTATTGTTAACAAAAACAAATGTAAAAACACTTAAGGATTTATCAATGTTTATTTACTGTACCTTGACCTGTAATTTGATAAATAAATAAATAAATAAATACTCAGGATATGATTTAATGTAAATATGTATATACTCTATGAATTGTTTATTATACTCAGGATATGATTTAATGTAAATATGTACATACTCTATGAACTGTTTATTATACTCAGGATATGATTTAATGTAAATATGTATATACTCTATGAACTGTTTATTATACTCAGGAAATGATTTAATGTAAATATGTAATATACTGTATGAATTGTTTATTATACTGAGGATATGATTTAATGTAAATATGTATATACTCTATGAACTGTTTATTATACTCAGGATATGATCTTAATGTAAATATGTATATACTGTAAGAATTGTCTATTATACTCAGGATATGATTTAATGTAAATATGTATATACTCTATGAAATGTTTATTATACTCAGAATATGATCTTAATGTAAATATGTATATACTGTATGAATTGTTTATTATACTCAGGATATGATTTAATGAAAATATGTATATACTCTATGAACTGTATATTATACTCAGGATATGATTTAATGTAAATATGTAAGATACTTTATGAATTCTTTATTATACTCAGGATATGATTTAATGTAAATATGTATATACTCTATGAACTGTTTATTATACTCAGGATATGATTTAATGTAAATATGTAATATACTGTATGAATTGTTTATTATACTCAGGATATGATTTAATGTAAATATGTATATACTCTATGAACTGTATATTATACTCATGATATGATCTTAATGTAAAAATGTATATACTGTATGAACTGTTTATTATACTAAGGATATGATTTAATGTAAATATGTATATACTCTATGAACTGTATATTATACTCAGGATATGATTTAATGTAAATATGTATATACTCTATGAACTGTTTGTTATACTAAGGATATGATCTTAATGTAAATATGTATATACTCTATGAATTGTCTATATTGTATTAATATTGGATTGTACAATATGCCCGTGGCTTGTGAGTACTGGAATAGTTTGAGAAAGCGCTTCTGCTACATCCACATGTGAGGAACCTGAAGCCGTTTCAGAGACATGCAAATACCTATCAGAGAACTTGATAGGAGTGAGTGACTGATTTTAGCTTTACGCCATTATATTATGTCTCGTCGTCTGGTCTTATGGTCGTCTCTACATATGCTTTTCAGCAACCCTGTGTAATGTTTTAGATATGACATTTAAATGAAATCCAATCTTGTGTACATGTATATGCACATATATAAACACATATATATATTGTTGTTTTGAAATGAATGGAAATATAACCAAAAATGGAATATTAGAAAAAAATGATACATTATTTCACGCCGCTCTTAGCAATATTCCAGCAATCATGGCGGGGTAGACCAGAAATGGGCTTCACACATTGTATTTGGTTTGGGTTTTGTTTAATGCTGTCACACATTGCTCCCATGTGGGGAATAGAACCCGGGTCTTCGGCAAGACTTGCGAACGCTTTAACCACTAGGCTACTCCACCGCCCCTTTACATGCCTGAGGTTCCGGTGCGGGGTTCTTCCATTCTGGCGGCACATCCTGAGTTCCACAAGGTGATACAGTAAGCTGACATCCTCCGTAAGGAGGAAAACCCTTGTCCAGGATTGCAACTGCATCTGTAATATTTAATGGATGAACATACTAGTAACTACGTCTTTACATAGACTGATTTCATTTACCGTTGGGTTTTTATTAATCATTATCTTGCTAATTGTCAGCATCGAAGTGATAAAGCCTTTACTTAAACACTGTCGCCTTATGATAAAAAAATATACTTGCATTTTGAATGGCTTAACTTCTAGTGTGCCACAAAACCTGTGTTTTGCATAAAAACCTCGATGTCTTCACAGAACAAAACCTGTGTTTTGTATAGGAAACTGTACGTCTTTACGGCATAAAACCTGTGCTGTGTATAGAAAACTGTTAAAAAAAACATGGTTTGCACAGGAAACTGAACGTCTTTAAGTACAAAACCTATGTTTTGCATAGGAAACTGAATGGTTTCACAGCACAAAACCTCTGTTTTGTAAGGAAACTGTACAAAACCGATCTTTTGAATAGGAAACTGAATGTCTTTACACTACAAAAACTATGTTTTGTATAGGAAATTGTATGTCTTTAAAGCACAAAACCTGTGTTTAATAGAGGAAACTCTGCATGTATTTGCAGCAAAAACCCTCTAAGTTTTGTAAAGGAAATTTTGATTGTATTTACAAAACAAAACCTGTGCTTTGTACAGGAATCTGAATGTCTTTGCGGCATAAAACCTGTCCTGTGTATAGAAAACTGTAAAAAAACCCTATGTTTTGGACAGGAAACTGAACGTCTTTAAGTACAAAACCTATGTTTTGCATAGGAAACTGAATGGTATCACAGCACAAAACCTCTGTTTTGTAAGGAAACTGTACAAAACCTATGTTTTGAATAGGAAACTGAATGTCTTTACACTACAAAAACTATGTTTTGATAGGAAACTGTACGTCTTTACAGCACAAAACCTGTGGTTTATACAGGAAACTCTGCATGTATTTGCAGCAAAAAACCTCTATGTTTTGTAAAGGAAACTTTGATTGTATTTACAACACAAAACCTGTGTTTTGTATTGGAAAATGTATGTCCTTTCAGAACAAAATCTGTATTTTGCATAGGAAAGTGAACGTCTTCACAGCACAAATCCTGTGTTTTGTACAGGAAACTGTATGTCCTAACAACAAAACCTATGTTTTTATAACCCTATATTGGTTACACCTGCTTGGGTTGTCAGTCCAGATTTGAAGAGGTCATTATACGACGATGTCGTGTTGGTCACACAAGATATACCCATGAATACCTATTGAAAGGTGAGGATCCTCCGTTTTGCATCCCTTGTGATGAAAGAATCATGGTCAAGCATGTTTTGCTTGACTGTGTTGAATATTCCATCACAAGGGATAACTATTTCAAATTAAGACCTATGAAGGATCTTTTTAATAATATAAGTTCTCATTTAATTATTGCATTTTTAATATTGCATTTGTTCAATGATTTGTAAATAGATTTGTAACACAGATTGTTAGTGGCTGTATCCTCAAAGGGGGTAAAGAACTGTAAAATTATTGTTCTCCTGAGAGGGTACGTAAGTCCCAAAACATTCGAAGTAAATTTAAACGTTCCACTTTTTTAATCGTAGAATACGTATTCTTTTAATGTTTGGCTAGCTTTGCTTCCTTGCTAACGGCTGAAGGGATGGTGTAAATCCATCTAGGGTCCATGCAGAAAGCAAATGTACTGTAAGTCCCCATGGTCCCTAGTATGGTGATCTACCTTCTGTTGTTGGCAATCTATAGCCTGTT